AACCCTCCCCAATCCCCTTCTGTGCCCCCGTGATGACCTTATAGGCAGCCACAAGGTCGCCACTCAACCTTCTCTTGCGGAGGCTGAAAAGGTCCAGGTTCTCTAGTCTCTCCTCGTAGGGCTTGGTCTGCAAGCCCTTAACCATACGAGTGGCCCTTCTCTGGACTCTCTCCAGGTTATCCGCATCCCTCTTGAAGTACGGCACCCAGAATTGCACACAGTACTCCAACTGAGGTCTGACCAGCGCCCGACAGAGGGGAAGTATCACCTCCTTGGATCTATTCGTCATGCATCTGCTGATGCACGATAAAGTGCCATTGGCTTTTCTGATGGCTTCGTCATACTGCCGACTCATGTTCATCTTGGAGTCCACTAGGTTCATTCTATTTTTTGCAGCGCTTCGAGAAGGCAGTTGGGGACATTCTAGTTAGCATGATGTTAAGATTCTGAACTTCTGTTCAAGCATGCAAGGTTGCAAATAAGACCAAGAGTCACCATTCAACTGCTCCATACATTGCTCTACATAGATGACTACATTAATAGAGCATTCCAAACAGGACTTGCAGATCTTGGTTGGCCACACTGCAGCAACCACTGACAGCTTTGGGATAACAGTTTGACAAAGACTGTTATTATGCATCACCTAGGACCAGGCAAGAGTTAGGCACGACCTGTACTCTACTACAGTGGAGTGTAGTCTCCTGCGACTCATGAGTTCCATTATCTAAGCAGTGCTCTAATAGACTGTGTTAGCATCAATAAGCTATTTGCTTCCCACATCCCAAATTCAAATATGGTCTTTGGTAAACTGATCAAGTGCATCTAGAGGGGAAAAAAGGAATCAATGTCTCTACAAAGGGAAAGGTTTTGGTTCTTTGGATTTTGTGTAATGGATATAAAGTCTGAACACTACACAGCTTACACTTCCAGCAACCAGAAAAAGTATGCCCAGATTTCTTGCATGCTTTGCAAGGGTCAGATCATTTGACCAAGAATTCATTGCTGAGGTGATGAAACATGGCAATTTATCATCAAAGCTTCAGTGTTTAAAGAAGACAAAGCTCAATTAGGCAGATCACACAACGTATGAGCAATAAGCACATGCCTACATAGCTGCTATATGCAGAACTGGAATGCAGTAAAAGGAAAGCATGACTAGCACAAAAAATTCTGCAGATCTACTGAAGTTCTATCTTCTTCAGAGAAGGATGGCAAATAACTCCTGAAAATCAATGGCTACAGATGGAAAGCAATCAAAGGATCAAAGCGCATGAAAAAGCACAGTAGACTTAAAGAGCAACAGTGGGTAGAAGTCACAGATCATCACCTGCCATAGGATTGAAGGTGGTACTGCAGGGAAAACGGCTGAAGCTTGTGGGGGCCGAGGGGGATCCGGGAAAGGGTCAGCTGGGTTGTGGCCACAAACCCGGCGCGTACAGATGGGTACTTTCGACCGCTGGAGTAGAATTAGGCACAAACGCGTACTGGTTCAAACAAAGTGGCTTTCCTTACACTGTCAAGATGTACAGCGTAGGAAGAAAGTTAACTTCAAACTTCAGTTACAGTTTAACCGGGAGCTCTAATTCGACGAGATATCTTTCTAAACACGAGCATGCAGAACACGGGGGTACGTCTGGGTCGGTCGGCGACAGGGAGTCGTCAGCGGTTGATCAGTCCGCCACGTTAACTCCGAGATGGACGCGGAGTTCTCCAACTTGGGTGGAAACTTCTCCAACCTTTTATACGGCTAGCGAGCCAATTGCTAGTCGCCACGTAGGAATAATTTACAACCGGCCAATAGTGTTCTCCACCGTGCCGAGAGATTCCCTCGTACAAAATCTCACCGTGCCTTGTGCTAGAAAGTTCCACTGTGCCGAGGCACTCAACCACTAAACTCTGCTCTGACAAAGCTTTCTGCCACAAACTGGCCTAGTGGGCCATTTGTGCATTCATTACACCACTAAGAAATTTTCTCAGGCTGGGATGACTTAGATGCCTGGTACAGGTCACTGAGGATGGCAATGACCAAAATGTTTACCATGTCATCATATCATTTTAGTTAAGTGGTTTAGAAAACCAATCAAAGCAGTATTTATCTCGGATAATAAAAGAGAGCAGTGTAAGCTATCAAGTTTAAAAATATTTTACAGTGTATATAATTATATTTTGTTGGAGATAATTCTATTCAAGACATTAAAAATATTTGTATTCTGAGAACACCATTAATGCAATACATGTTGGCAGACATAGCAACACAGTTGATTCCATCTTCAAAGAGCATATTATTATAAAAGTGCAGGTTTTTTTGTTGACTAATATATTTTCATGTTAACTGGTTGGGAAAATATGATTAAAAAGCTTATGATGAAACATCTTTAAAGTTTTTTGGAGTCCATAAATTTCTTTAGCCCCACATAAATAAGTTTTAAATGGGATCATAATAAAAAAGCTACAATTTTGTCAATTTTGTTGAATATTCATGGCATTCTGGTAGTCCAGAAATAGGACTCATTCAAGTAAGTCCCACCTATTCACTCAACCTTGGAGACCCAGACAGAAGTCCAAGGTAAGTGTTCAGACAGATGAAGCCTCAGACATGTAGAATACCAAAAGGAGTCCTTCCCATCACCCTGACCAGTCCATATGTCTATTTAGATGCTTATAGAGCAAAAAGGTAGACATCTGTGAAGGTTTCTCAAGTACACCAACGATGCTTAGATCTTCAACTCCTCTCCATCTGTTCCGTCCGTTCATTAGGACAAATAATTCAAATATCCACATGCAATTCAGGTGAAAAATGTTAGCCTTGACTGAAGCTTATTCCAATCAAGAATAAAGTGATTTTGGAAAAAGCAACTATATTCCATCCTTCTGACTGAAGAAACATGCTCCCAGTTGGTGTTCCACAGTTTTGTTAAGTATTAGAATTGTCTGGGGCAAATGTTCAGTGGGTAGTTTTGCACAAAAGACAGTTTCCCATGTGTTTTTTTTCCAGAACAGTACAGATTTTCATAAACCAACCTGGATGTAATACATACCTCAGCCACCATGATATTAACTACCATAATGCACTATCTATGTCAGGATCCAGGTCAGGCAGCCCAGACACTGGGGAGACACTGGGAGTGAGCGAGTACAGAAGCAGAGCCCACACCCGTGTCCCAGGGCCAGCGCCAGCAGGGCAGCAGGGGTACAGCATCCCAGCCGGCGGGGGCTCTATGGAGCTGGGCCAGCTACCCCCTCTCCTTGCTGGTGTAGCCCAGCCCAGCACCACAGACCCCTGCCAGCCTGCACCCCGCTTTGGGCCCCACCAGTACTGGCTTTGGGACATTGGTCCCAAGATGGTGACCAGGGGGCAGGGCACCTGTGAAGAGGCGCGGCTACCCATTCGGCCCTAGACAGCTTGCCACAACTTGGTAAGCAGCCCTCCACCTGAAATAATTGTCTGCCCCTGATCTATGTGTATGAAGCCATGTGAAAACAGAAGCTGGATACAAAAAGTGGCCCCATACTTAAAAGAAAAAGTGATGCACAATGGAGCAGATTCTTTCCTATGCTATCTCAGATACAATTATTAAAAGCAGCAATGAGCACATCCATATGTGGCCGTATAGCGCTGTTATTACTGCGCCATCATTTAATACTTCATTTTGGAAGTACTAAGTGTTGGCACAATAACAGCCCATACTGTGGTGTGCTGGCTATGCATGGCTATTTTTAGCTTTTAGGTTGCTGTAACAGCACACTATAATGAGGGAGCACATTGCTACAATGTAGCTACAACATCACAGTTTTTGCCCAGCGATGTAGCTTTACATGTTGAGGTGGACTCTGTGCTACAACATGCTAGGCCTGGTAGACTTGGAATGGGATACAGTGTAGCTATAACAGCCTGCTGCTGAATGTGTCAAAAAGTTTTTTTCTGCAGAGCTTACTGGTCTACACAGCATACATGAAGCAAACACAATGCATCTCAGAACAGCACTACCTTGAATAGACATACTCAAGTAAGCTCTTTGATATCAAAGGAAAGTGGCTGGCAAGAGAGCTTTGACCATGAGGCTTTCCTCAAAGGCCTGCAGACATGCCAAATTATTAGTCTTCTGACCATACTATAGGCCCCAGTTTTAAGTAAATATCTGGAAAAAGCTACAGCAATGAACACCAGTGAGTTCAAGTATATGATGCTTACACAGATGGAATTAACATTTGTCTGCTAGAAACAAGATTTGCTTTTTAAAATTCCATATTGATGTTGTTTAAACAGCCGCAAAGCACCAAGAGCATAGGGTAAGGGATTTTAATCAAATCTTCCAAATGCTGTATTCTTTAAATATTTTTCCCCATGATCACCAGAGCCAATTAGTGCATGCAATGAGTGTAATGAGTCCAGTGTAATGAGATTTTTCAAATAGTGTCTTTTATATATGCCATTGCAGTCTCTCTCGCTCTTTACATAAAGAAAACAACAAAGCTACAGGGTTCCAACACAATTGACATTTTGAGGTTGGAGCAAAGCAAACAAACCATATCAGTGGGGGCTACAGATGACTTTCTTCAAAAACACTGGCAATATACTGAACTCACAAGTAACGGCAGACACACTGAAAGGAACTCTTCATATCAGCAGCCAAAATACAAGCTCTAAATTTCAGAATTTAGGAAAAATGCCCTACTAGTATTCAGTACCTGGTCCAAATTATCTGTCTCGTCAACAAACCGGACAGTAGCAGATCTAGACCTCCGACGTCTAGTACCCCGTGAATCTCCATAATCCCTGAGAGGAGAGGTAGGCTGGAAATGGTGACTCCCTTTACAAGTTAGCAGATAAAAAACAAACAGAAAGACATAACTGCATGAGTTTGGTTTTGGGTATTATTTTTTGGGAGGGGTAGGGGAGAAACAGCAGGAAAGGGATGGAGGGGAGTCAAAAAATAAATAAATTCTCTCTGTCTCTCACACACACACTCTCTCTCTCTCTCTCTCTCTCAAAACGCACCAGAAAAATAATGCGATAAAACTAGAGAAAGTTAATCAATACAACAATACAATTGTTTTTATGTCTGTTTCCTTCATTACTCATTTTTACCCTCCTCCTCTCCCTATTACAGTGGTTCTCAACCTTTTTAGAGGGCACCCCTCCCTAACTATTTTGAATTTGATGGGACTCTGGTAGAGAACCACTATTGGGTACCCTCAGCTTACCTAAATTGTTCTCAAACAAGGTGTTGCCGCAGCCACGGGGAAGGGCTCCTGCTATAGCCCTTCCTGGTCCGACTCTACACAAAGCACTTGGGGGAGTTTCACCTCATTACAGTGGCAGGGGCAGTACCCAAGGTGCTTGCACCACTACACCCCTAAAAGGCCCTTGTGCCACCCTAGTGTGCCAGGGCAACCTAGTTGAGAGCCACTGCCTTTCGCTTTATGGAGGTTTTTTATTTTATTTATTTATTTATTTTAAATAAGCTTGCCTATAATGTTTCCCAACACATTGTTCAAAACCCAGGAAGAGCACAAGTCAGTTCTATGCCAATACCAGCTTTGTCTTTATAAAGTTATTATCATTTTAAAGACTACTTAAAGACAACTGTTTCAAAGCTCTTGGACAAGAAAGGTAAGGCGTATACAATAAGGGAAAGGAAGACTATAAACATCCCAATGGGATAAGTAGCACTTGCTTCCAGGAAGAAAGACCACAGACACTGAAAGTAAAATCAGTAATTTATCATTTGTGGGCACTTACACATATGCAGGGAGCCTGCTCTGATGTGCTAGAAATCCAGCATGTCAGAGCACACTCAGTTAACTGAGTCTGCTGGAGCACAAAAATTGATGTGCTCTGGCAGCCTTACGCATCATGTGCATCATCGGCGCAGCGCACCGCCACACTGAGAAAATGGCAGGGGCGTGCTTTGAACTAAAACATGTTCAATACTTTACTTTGAACATGTTTTAGCAGTGCCATTTTCTCAGCATGGAGGTATGCTGTGCCACTGGTACATGTGACACATGGGCACTTTTAATTAACGCAGCTGGCTAATTAAAAGCGCCTGGCACCACATCAGAAACAGCCTCTAGAGAGCTGCTTGTAAGGCCCCTCCCAGGTTTCTCCTTACTGGTAAGCATTGTGAACACTAAACCAGAAGGTCCATTTTGTCTCTGCCTCCAAATAAAACAGTTTTTCCCCAGAAAAAATCTGATGCTTGATTCAGCACTCTTATCAAGCCATTAGGAGTTATTTCTCTTGACATCTATCTTCTGAAGACACTAGATGTCACCAGCTGAGCAACTGTTTGTTCAATGCAGGCCAGCCAGATTTCAAAATTGAATCTCTTTGAAACAAGAGTGGTTATATCTTTTGATGCCCATCCCTTTGTTTAGGCACGCACATAAATATGATGGCTTCGCTCTTTTGCCTTAAAGCAACAATAAAAAATGAATTCTGGGATATAATCAATGTACAGTAACATTACCAACGATTGCTTCACCATCCAGGTCACTTGTACATAAGCTTGAAAGAGAGGCACTTCTCATTCCAGAATTCCTGGACAGTCGTTGGCTCCTTAACTGACTTATAGATTCTTCTAGTGTCTCCTTTAACTGCAGAGAAAATAAAACCAGTAAAAGACGTGTACAGAAGTGTGAAAGGGCATGGATGTAAAATGTAATACATTCTTTGAAAAAACAAAGGCAGAAGTATGAAAAGCTTAAAGCAAGTACTGCTGAGGTCTAGAATACTATTTTTGGTGGTTTGTCGTGTACAGTAAGTTCTCTGTAGCATGATAAAACATTGTACTAAGGGTGACAGCTTCACAGGATGTTAATTTCTTAAAGTAAATAATTAAATAAAACACAAAGGGTAAAAACAGACCTCTAATGAAGTGGATCAGCTATGCTGGGATATGCCTGGCACAGTTGATCCACTTCACTGGGAGAAATGCAGGTCACCCACTGGCACATCTCTTAATGCTGTAGGACAATGGGTGACATTCTCCAGCAGCCTAAGGGCACTGGTCCTGAACAGCCTGGGAATTCCAGTGCAGAATCAAGCCCCTCAAGCCCTGGGACTGCCTGTCCAGCTTTCCCGTCTTATAGAGACATGCTCCAGGGAATCTCGCAGCATGTCTTTAAGCAGAGAAAGCCAAGGTTTTGGCACACATATTATATATTTGCCTGGTCCCTAGAAATATGACCTTGCATTCAACTGTATTAAAATTCATGTTGTTCACGTGATCTTAGCATCACCCAAACCAGATCATTCTTTAGAATATTAATCTTGATCTTTTCTAGAAAAACTTGCAATTAGTAAAACAGTAGTGTTTTGAATCTTGAAAGATCTTGAATACCATCAGCAAAAAAACAAATCCCTGTAAGGCCAAACTTGAAAACACACCCATTAGATGATTATTCTTATTTATACTTGCTGAGAGCATTATCATTTAAAACCATTATTGGGCCAATTTATACATACCACATTAATTAGTTCTTATCATCATATTGTTGTGAGTTACTAAAGCAAGTACCTTACAGAAGCTTAAGTATATCTTAGCTACATTTGCCCAAGTTAATGTCAAAGAACCAATATCAAGTTCATCCAAAAAATAAAACAACATTGATTTACCCCTAATGTACAGTTTTCTTTCTGCAACGTGTTTTGTGCTGGTGTTTGACTTTGCCACAAAGGAAGAAAACAGTAGAAAGGTATCATGAATGTAGCTGGACTATCCTGTTTCTCCACACACGTAAAAAGCAGACCATCTAACAGCCCAGAAACCCACCGTAATATGACAGTTACTGTACATGCGCTGTAGCCATGTCTGTAACTACATAAGGTTGCATTGGGGCAATCTACCTGGCAGGTCATCCTCCAAGTAATTAACCCGTAAGAGCCCAGGGAGAAAAACAGGAATTAAAAACAACCCTGTAGACTCATCTGCCTATTGAAACAGGAATGAGACACGTTTGCCAAGGAGGCTGGTACTTATCACCTGCTATGATTTTGGATATAGGAAAATGGTACACCAATTTTACATAATAGAAAAGCCCTCCATTAAGATAATGTTCAAATTATTGTGTCCTGTTGTACAGATCTAGTAGGAAGTCTGGGAAGGAAACAATTGTTATTTCTACAGGCTATGCAACCTGCCAAATTTATATTTAACTATCAGCAAAATGATATAAACTGGGATTCTGTCTCTAAATTCAAGAGAACTAGGGTAGAAATGAGTGAAATTAAGTTTATATAGTGTTTCTACATGGTTTAGCTGAGCTTAAGGAGAAAAACTAGTGTCCTATAGTGTAGAATGCAAGTCTCAGAGATCAAAAAAAAAAGTGGAGCTTAATATGCTATCCCAATGCTGTCCAACTGGTAATCCTTGAGAGGTTAAGTTGCACCCCCCACACTCATCTAGCAGCTGCTTCCCCACACTGCAGCCAGTCTCCAGGCTCCCCCTGCTCTCCTCCAGCTGCCATTTCTGCCCTCGCCCCAGGGACTAGGACGTTGCGGCACAGTGCACGGAGCTGAGGGCGAGTCCAGGCCACACAGAGAGGGTCGGAGAATGAGGGTGAGATCATGCCCACATAGGGTACTAGTGTGTGGGAAGGCACCCAACGCAGTGGTGGCAGAATGTCCACAAGGGCACACAATCCAGCAGGAGGGGTTAATTGTGAGGTGCAGCAGTGGAGGAGCACCCAGCACAGTGCGGGGAAGAACGGAGTTGCCCACATAGGCAGAAGGGTGGGGAGGAGTGCCTATGGAGCCTGATGGCCTATGGCTTACCTGTTGTAGCCCATGTGGTGTGATGCCCCTGCTGGTGTGGTCCCTGGGGCCTTACAAATTGAAGAGCCTTGAGCTGTACTAATACATGTACAATGTGAAAAGTTTTGGAAGAAGACTTTTATTAATCTCGACTCAGGGAGTATTTGGCAAGCTCTAAAAAGTCTTCACTGGACCCACCATCGTCATTCTATTGGGGAACTGTTCAGAAGATGTCACTGATGACAGCTGCACACAAAAATCATGTGTCTAGAGATATAGCTATGGTGTGTCTTAAGAAAGCAACAAAAATATATATGAGAAAGAAAAAGCAGATCACATGTTTTCACTGAGATTGTGAGTTCCTTTCAACAAACGCCCAAATCAATACCCGAGAGTTTCCTATACTTTACAATTCTATGTAGAAAAAACCTCTGGTCTCCCCCATTTCCTCTACTGGAGACTAAAAGTAATGTTACAGGCTTTTTTAAATTCTGTGAAGTCATGCGAAATCTATTTTTAAGTAAAAACTTGTACAAAATTAAAACAAGAGAGTGAAATATTATGATTTCCAGTAGTTTCCTGTCCTGCCATCTGCTGCTGTCATGAAAAGGCAGCAAATGGTACCTACTGCTATTTTGTTTACTAGATGATCAGTAGCTCGTGCTGTTGTGACTAAAAACCGTATGTAAGTAGCATAGCATGCAGGCATAAATTTGCTATTTTACTCCCTACATTGGAAAATGTTTCAGGATTTTCCCTCCATGAGTAATCAGACTTTTCTATATGAAAGAAACATAAAAACAAGGCATTTAAGCTTAAACACAGCTCTCAACTCCTAATTACCAGGGATCCAGGTTTTCAGTTTGCCTCAGAAAAATGCGGATTTTCTGCTTCAAAGGAGACAAACGCAGGAAACGGTGGGTTTTTCCATGCAAGCTGGCCAAGTTTCAGCCTGCAAGGGGCTGGGGGAGTGGGACACGGGGCACGACGTGCATATGTGCGCACACACATGCATGTGGTAGCCAGGCAGCATGGTAGACAGAAGCTCCCTCCACATAAGTCTATGGGGGTGCGGGGG